ACTAAACGGGATGAACCTTATTCACGCGTTTATGTTTTTTAGGTTTTGGAACTTTTAACCACCCCCGCAAACACCCACCTTTTACCATTGCCCCCCCCCCCCCCCCCCCCCCCAAAAAAAAGAGAGAAAAGAACGCGCGATTACTTAGAGAATAGCAGGATATTTCGCGCGTTGGAATTGTGTTAGACGTGGGAAAGCGAGAGAGAGCAAGGCAAAAGGCAAGGCTTTCCGCGCAACTCCCATCGTCAGGTGCACAGTGCCAATTATTTTTCCATTTTACGTATTACATTCAATACCTCCCTCCAAGCTCCCCCAGGTCGTTCAGGACGTTCTACAGCACCTACTAGGCCTACGAAAGTTACTAGAACCGGATACTTCACCTCTCCGTCCACTATCGTCCACTATCGATTAATTAACACCGAACTCCTTCCCATCAACTGATCTACGCTCGTACATTCGACGAACTTTTTCTCGCTCTTATTACTTAAACCTGTGAACGTGCGGAGCGAGGTCAAACTCGTTTCTGACTCGTTAAAAGGAAGGAAGGAAGGAGAAAAGAAAAAGCAGGAGAGATCCCATTGGGAAGAGGGGTTTCCTTTTCCTTTTTTTTTTTTTTTTTTATTATTTTCTAAGAGACTGGAAAATTCGGAAGTCTTGTCAACTGTCATCCCGCAGGGCTCTCTCTATACTTGCATCTTATTCGCTGAGACGAGAGAGTACCTGTACCCAACCCCCGATTACCATCACTAGCAGGTACTTACCTGGTACCTGCTATCTATTATCAGCAGCGCCACGACCAGGCCACCCAGGCCACGCCCCATACCATACCGCGAGAACATTAGTCGACTGATCTGAAGAAGACTACCTTCTTACTTGTACCCATAAACTCATCTTCGCCATCACCGCCGCCGCACGAAATTCCCCGGCCACACACACCATCTTCACTTTTTTTTATTTTTCCTTTTTTATCTTTTACGTCCATTATTTCGCGTGTTGACTGAAAAGTCACTCGCGATTTTTTATTGTCATAATCTATCCTCAACGTCATTTGCGATACCATTTTCCTCATTTCATTTCCAAGTGACTTCTGACCTTCGCGTCTTTGGTCGCATCCTCTTTCACTCCTTTTGCATATTTGGAGGATTCGGACTCTTGCCTAATCAATACCCCCATCCCTACTCGAGCAGGCGAGATCTGGAGGGACAGAAAGGATCGTTTTTCCCAAAAGAATTACCATCCAACTTTCTACCATCGAATTGTTCAATCGATCATTCCAACTTACGCGCATTCCTCTACTGTAAGACTCGGCTACTCTCTTCAATCGACGTCTCTTCGGTGCTGACTAAAGAGAAAGAAGAGCGCCTAGGACTACTGGCCGACTTCCCAAGTAACGCAACTATTACCTTGTCGCGGCGATACGCATGCGCATTCATTTCGCACCAATTTTTATCGCCGTGATTGAACGACTCAGATCCTGACAGACATTGTCTGTTCATAATCCCTTACCATGAATAACGTGAATATGGGGGGTATGCCTATGCCCGGCGCTCCCGTCGGCGCACCGAACCCTATGATGAACAATAGCCTAGCCGCGCAACAAGTCCAACAAAGCCAAGGAAATAGTCGGACCATCCTTAACACATACATCTACGATTACTTTCTCCGGGAAAACATGCACGATTGCGCGCGCGCGATGTTGAAGAGCGAACAAACCCTCAACGTCATTAAGGACAGCCCGGGTCGCCGTCGTGACGAAAATGGCAATGTCCTAGGTAATGGCGTCGGCGACGATCCTATGGATACCGATAGCAAAGATGACATAGACTCGAAACGCCCTCCCGATTTACCGCTACCTAATGTCCCGACTGGCGCCGACAACTGCTTTCTATACGAGTGGTTTTGCTTGTTCTGGGATATGTTGATGGCTCAGCGTAGCAAGCCGGGTATCAGCCCCCAGGTGAGCCAATATGTCAGCCATACACAGGTAAGTTTTCCATGAATCTTTGTAGTGATTATATAGCTGACAAATCTAGCAACAAAATCGACAAAGGCAAACCGAGCAACAAGCGATACTACGAGGAATGCGAAGCGACCTATATGCTGGAGGAGGACGTATGGGGCTGATGCCCAATGGGATGCCAGTCAACGCGAAGCAACCAACTCTAGCAAGGACCGCCATGGCGAATAATCAGAAGTATGCTACCCAAAGAATTCACGCGTTCTGACCGTAGACTAGTCGCTAATATTATTGCCTAATAGTCCTCAAGCCATGCAACTATTGCAACAACATGCAAAGCAAAATCAGATGCAGCGAGACGGTTCGAACATGGATGGGAACCAAAATCGTCCGGGTTCTCCAGGTACAGCTGAAAACGCGCCGTCGCCGAGCAAGCGACCGCGCCTGGACGGATCGGGACCCTTTAATCCCCAGCAGGGAGGCATGATGCCGAATGGACAACGCCCGCAGCAAGGAATGCCGGGACAACAAGTAGGCAACGGACCCGCTATTGCTCGGCATATGCTTCAAACAAACGGCATCGACCCAGCTAATCTGACCCCTCAGCAGTTCCAAAACTTCCAAACACAACCCCCGCAAACACAAGCCAAATCGATCCAAACTTACGCGCAAAATCTTCAACAACACCATGGCCAGCAGATGCCCAACAAACAAATGCCAAACCCGGCCGGCCCACAGGGTCAGGGCTCGCCCATGATGCCAGCAGACGGTGCTGCGATCGGCGCATTTTACAACGCGCCGGAGATGGGTGCTGCAGGACCGATGAGGGCTGGTCCTGGCGGTGCTCAAGCAGGAGGTAGTAACCATGCCCTCCAAGACTATCAGATGCAATTGATGCTACTCGAGCAACAGAATAAGAAACGGCTCATGATGGCAAGGCAAGAGCAGGATAGTATGGGTGGTATGCCCCGCGGAGACGGAAGTGGTCCTGGAGGTCCCGGAGGACCTGGGGGACCCGGCCCGAACGGACAGCCCTTCCAAGACACGTCCCCTCAAGGGGCGCGAACGGGAGCTTCTCCCAACCCTACTGAGCAGATGAAACGGGGGACTCCCCAAATGCCCGCCGCTGCTATTCCGTCGCCGTTGCCTGAAGGAGCACAATCCAGAGGCTCACCGAATACGATGAGTTTCATTCAGAACGGCATGGACCCCGCCATGCAGCCTCATTTCTTCAAGGGCATGAACGGGATGGACTCAAATATGGTCCCGCAGATGAACGGAGGCATGCGACCCCCCAGCTCTCACCCGAACCAACCCTTTAACGGTCAGATGAATCCTCAAATGATGAGGCAACAACAAGGTGCACAAGGCGGGCCCCAAATGTGGCAGGGACCAAATGGGAACGCGATGGCGCCTCAAGCGCCCCAAGGACCTCAGGCTCAAGTTCAGGGAACACCGCAGCAAAGATCAATGCCGCCTCCTTCAGCCCCGGCTCCGGCCAACAACGCCGCCGCAGGTCGCCCGCAAACTTCATCGCCGCAACAGAACAGCGCGGCTCCACCAACACCGCAACAGGGTAACAAGCCAGCGCCAAAGAAGAAGGACACCAAGAATGCAAAGACCAAGGTATGTGTTAGATTCCGTAAGGTTGGTTACACCAAGCTAATTAACTATGCAGGCTGCGGCTCAGAAGAAAGCAAACCAGAATACAGGCGCAACTCCTGCCTCCGAGGCCGCCCAAGAACCCGAGCCTCCTACGCCCGTTACTCCTGTCAATCCGGCGGCCAACTTCAACAAGAATGGGCAGAATGTTGGTGGTCCACAACCAGCAGCTAATGCTCCAGTGTCAGCTCCGCCACCAGCCCCTGCGCCAGTAGCAGCACCGCAAGCGCATCCGGACGCGTCGCAAATCAACTCATTCAGTATGGACAGCAACGGTGGAATGGTGAGTTGGCATCTTCTCCAGCATCAGGTCATTTTATACTAATTCTAATGTAGGACTTTACTTCCATGAATTTCGCGGATCCTATGCAGACGGGAGACGTGCTTCAGGACTTCGATTTTGATTCCTTCCTCCATGATAACGATGCGGATCCTGGAACGTTTGACTTTGGTACGGCGGGGTTTGGAATGGAGGGAGCTGGGGAAATCGGGGCGGAGTAGGATTTCTCCCTTGATCCGCCTCTTGATTCATCCTTCCAGAGCGATCTCTCTCTTTAAAGCATCTCTACATCCGGATTGAGTTTTTTTTTTAAGGGGCATGTCATGGCGTTAATCGGTTGTTTATACTCGCATCTGGACTATGGCCATGGTCTCTGACGGTTATCACGCTCAGCAGACCTGATACGAAACACGAATACCAAAAAAGCTGGTGGAATTTTTACCCTCTTAGACTCGACCTCATACCACCTCATTTTGTTGTTGTTTTTCTACAGCTTTTTCGTATCTACCCATATTACACAAACCGTCACTTCCTACGTAGGCGGCCTTTCGCCGAATGCTTCATTTTCGACGCCGGCCATAAGGACTTAAGCGATTCGGGGGTGGGGGTTAATTCTGTTGTATTTTTTGGAGGGCAACGTACTACGTTATCTGACACCGGGCGCGCATGTTTTTTCTCGTTATTTTACACCGGTTGGTTTTACTTGATTCTGGGGGGGGGGGTTCATCGTGGCAAATTCAGTCTATACATTCCGGAATGAGTTGATCCTCCCACGATTAGCGATCCGAGGAGCCTTATATTGGCTAGCACTGAGGTTGAGGCGAAAGAGCCCTTAATAGGAACTTTTTTGACGAGGTTCTTTTATCCTCTTGATACTCCTTTTTTGGCGTTTATCTATTCCAACTTGCGAGTCTCTTTGCCGCTATTTTGAAATTCCCAAACGAAAGACCTTCTCCAAGCATCCTCTGTAAGGAGGAGTAGGATGGCAAAAGGCGATTGATCTACGTGATCTACCTGCCCACCGGAAGAGCTCTCTTCTCGTCTTTACAGCTACAAACCCACCTTATCCCCTTTAACCGTTGCGCGTGTATGTGTGATTTTTTGGACCTTTTTTTTTTTCTTCCTTTGTTCTCTAAAAAATTGGTGGGCGCTTGGATGGTGAAATTTTTGGGAAACTTGTCTACTTATCAGTTTTTTTGACCATTATATTGCAAGAGAAGGTGGGAAATTTGGTGATGGTGTAGCGTGGTTTATTCATTCGCGTCGTCCTTTTTCGGAAACCCAAGTGTATACAATAGAACAGAGCAAAGCAGAGTGTGCTGCTGATACCACGCACGTACTTATCTATCAGATCTCCTTTAAGACCTTCAATTTATCTGTCTTTTTCTAGTTACACAGTGATTACTGTGCTGTAGATGAGTTTGTAATGAATGGTTTGTATGGTTCAATGTTCAATGACTTGATCACATAAAGCATGTACTCGAGGTATTCATATCATATGAAGCTAATGTGATTATAGCGATTATAGTAATTATAATTGTAGCTGCTTATTTAGACACGGTAAATGGGTAGAGTTTCTTCAGACAATGATCCCTATCCATTGGTTATAGACTCGCCCAATGACTTGCCAAGCTGAACAAGTGTTCTTTCATATACCTTGCCAACATTCAATTGTAGTTCCTCTTCCTCATCATCTACTTCGTCACCTCCATCCGGCACATCCATGTCCTGTTCCATGTCGGCAGCCATTTGTACCGGCGGTGTTGCTGTAGACATAGTAGTGGCTCCCGCGATGATAGACTCATTGTGTGTGATATTCGGAGTTGCCTCGTCATCAGAATCGCTGTCGTCATCATCAACCATCCAGTGGAACTTCTCGCCCGGTTGACTCGGCTTAAGCGCGTCGATCGCAGTTTCTGGACTTCTATTCTCAGGAGCTGCATCACTGAACTTCGGGCTTAGATCTTCGTCCTCTTCGACTTTTATTCGTTTGGCGTTGTCTCCGTTCTCTTCGTCTTGTAAACCCGCAGTCTCGGGTTTACGTTTAGATGGAACGTGTTCCGAGTCGCTTAATTCCGAATCTTCCCCGAATTGTGAAACGTCTTCGAATTTTATTCTACCGTCCTCGTCGCTATCCTCACCTTCGTCATCGAAAACTGGTGATTGTATGAATCCGGTAGATAGTGAAACGCTGACGTTGCGTCTTAAAGGTGATCGTCGTGTAACTCTGTTGTCGTCGTCGCCGTCTACGAAGTTCTCGACGTCTGGGTCGTCGCTCATAATCATGGCGACCAGCATACGGGTCTCGTCGGCGATACTCTTACATCGCACCATGTCTGTCCTTGTAAGACCTCTTCCGTTTCCCTGAAATCCTGGTAGCGGCAGTCCCGTCTTAATATCGCGACCGAGGAGTAGGCTCGAGAAGCAATGATCGAGTTTCTTCAAGAGGGCGAATGTAGATCGCGGGGACGGTCGGAATGCGGGGAGGTAAGTGTTGAAAGCAAGCGCGACATTCAAGAGGTATGGGATTTGAAGGCTGGCTAGGGAAGTTCATTAGCTTCTTCAATCTCGCTCTTTGGATAGATGATATGGAACTTACGAGTACCAGAGAACCAGAGTACATCAATAACCTCTTCTAGGTCCTTACACACTTCATCCATGCTTTCGTATCCGGTCACTTCATCAGCAGGGTCGGGAATTCCATGCTTTTTGACGAAGCGACGGGAAATATGCATCAATCGCTCCGAGACATAGTTCCTAGCGTAATCCTCCTTTCTAGAACCTCGGGCTAACGGTTTCGATCGCGGGAATGGGAGGCGCGCAGCCCCTCGGATTGATGCTATACTTGGAGATGGAGATGGTAATGAGGTAGCGCCATCTGGTAAGAAACCGCCGGCGTTGGCGTATGTGAGCCTTGGTGTTTCAACCATTTTCGAGTGTTGATCTATTGAAATAGATGAGTTCCGTTTGTGGGTTTACACACATGAGGATTTCTTTCGAAGTTGTTACGGGTATTTATTTTCAATAAGAAAGAAAGAAAGAAAGAAAGAAGATTTAGTCACATGGACGTGTAACATAATATTTGTCAATTTGATAGATCCATAATCAATGGAATAAAGTGATGGATTAACCCATCGTCGTAATCACGGGTACATAATCGCCTCTCTATCCCTTCAGCGCTTTAATCTTTAATCATTGATGGTTGTGACGCCATTACCTAGGTACACTGGAACTATAAACCGCACGAGCCACTTAGAAACCCGCCCCCACACAAAGCTTAAGTCAGTCCAGTAGTGGGTACTTCCTTAGCGCTAAAGCTTCCCGCATTTGATTTTTTTTGTTCGGTGCATCAATTTCAATCGTCATTCAATCATCTTCAACCCAAATCGAAATCCGAACGAGTTAATAAATCCTCAACTCATATTCCTATACACTTCGCAATCATGCCACCAAAGAGAGTTGCCGGTCGCTCCAATAAGGGCTTTGTCAGCTCTACCTACGAAGCCTTCACATCCCCCGAAAACGCCTCTGTCGTACGAAGCGTAGCACTTTTCGGCGTATGTTCTCTGTTATGAGATATTCACTCCCTACCGCTGGAGTCTCTACTAAATGATATACTTAGGCCGCAGTTGCTTTCCTAGCCAGTCCCTGGAGCGAATATCTTCTTCCGCCGTAAGATTATATGCTTTTTACGATTCGACCGATACCAACTCCGAATACTAATCTGATATTTAGGGTATGAGATGGGCAATCGTCGCGGAAGAAAGGAAATAATGATATGTGAAGAGTGTACAGTATTGGGCGAAAATCTCTTCGGGTGTATTATACAGGATGAACTGGACGAAGGGGTTATGCGCGCATTGCATCCGATCGGTCTTGATAGACCATTACGAAGACTCATCTGAGGAAGATTCGCCTCTTTACGAATTAATATAACGAATGACCTCTCAAATCTACACTACAAACAAGACATGAATGAACTAAGACTATTCATTGGGGCTACCGGGTGATATTGGGCTTGCATCTATAAACCCAATGTGACCTGTTTACTTGGTGATATTATTCAATAGTTTCCTTGTAAGTTCCTCTTGCTATATCTACCTCTAAAATTTGAAACCATATGGTTAGTTCTTTCATCAAGATACAGCATGGCCCCTTACTTTTAAACGTACGAATGTGCTTTCTTGCAAAAAGGGAGGACTACTTGCAATGATGTAATCTGTAATTTCTATATGTGAGCGGCAGGGATATCCTATGACTTACACTACATCATATTTCCTTTATTTCGAGCGCATTCCAGGTTATGGCTGAATAGACATAAGTTACATCTATTAGAGCCTCACCTACGATATTTCCTATTCACTTATTCTAGAGAACGATAAAATCCAATAACATCAATCAACATGCATACTCCTCCTCTCACTAGACCTCCCCATCTCTTCGAGAGACAGGAAGCCCACATCAAAGTCAACGATCTAGAATTTGCTGTTTGCAAGTTACTATTCTTTTTTATCAAGGACCTTGTGGAACGCCAGGTTGTGGATGAAGGGCATCAGGCCCGCTTCTTGATACTTACGTCCTGTATTAGACCCGAGATCAGAGCCGACCTAACGATTAATCAAGTCATATTCCATGGCATCCTAGGCCAGATACCGAGTTCTGTCCTTAGCCGACATTCACATGCAATTTTTCGTCCGATCGTTGACCTTCTCTATCTCGTCGTCAAGGGTCCACTTCCGTCAAATCGACTAGAAGGCATAAAACCATTTGGGAAGATAGAAGTCACACAAGGTCTCGAGGCTATATATCGTAAGTAGGAACTTCAACCACAGCCGCCTTATATCGCATGGCCACGCCGTAGTTTCGACGGCTATAAGGAGGACTAATTCGGCACAGGGAGTCCAGGAGTATGTCCTCACCTGGCAACAGAACCGATATTAAACCACCATTTTCACTTCTTCGCCTGCAACCTTTTCATACTTGACTTAACGGAGGACCTAACATTCTTCGTTTGCGCAATGCGCGACGCATTAGAAACCAGTTGGGACAATCCCCGGCGCATCAAGAACCTATTCCGCCCCGTCGCCCAGTGGATTCTTCCTCTTGGAGACATACTCATGTTCTATACCGGCCGCTGCTTCTGGTCCTTACCACTCTTCATAGAGCATGGGGAACTGTACAGTCTTCAACTCTGCAGGACTCACGGCAAGAAACACCCGATACCAGGCCTAACGCCAGACCGCTGGCGTTTCTGGCAGCGACGCGTCGATGAGACCATGATCTTCCTCATGGATTTCGAGCGCCCAATCAAAAGTCCGCCTGATGACGCCGCCAAAGCTGTTTCTGAGAAGTTAAAAGAGTTAATGCTCATGCTGGAGGAGCCTAGGCCGTCTCCGTGTGAAAAAGAGATGGGGAAAGAGGATACCTAGCAGCGTATAACATTTAACTGCGTACCTAGAATTGTTACTTTACCTAACTTCATCCATATTTTGATAGCGAAAGGGGGCGTCGTGAATGATTTTTGTTGGATCCTATTGGCGAAGGGTCGAATGTTAGTCTTTAGGAAAACAGCGACTTTGCCATTACCGGTTTCTTACACGCATGGGCTTATTTTCTTTAGTGACGACTAACTACAGTAACGCATCATTTTTTTCTTCTTACTGGTGTCTATCTAGTCCTAAAGTTCGGAAATACCTTAGTAAGAATAGAAAGGGAGGTTTGATCTGAGTAATCAAGGGATGAAGTACTGGCCCCCAACCACCCTTGTTCCAACATCTCTACCCCAACTATCTCTACGTATATTGTCCTGTTATATGCGGCCGAGCTTCACAGTAGCATTTAACTTGTCCTTCCTAAATCGCCGACGATGCTCTTCACCGCCAAAACATCCTCGCGCAATATTGCTCATATCACATTAGTGATACTTAATGTTGTATGATACTATATTTGATATGTAAAGTTCGTATAGGTGAGTCTGAATGTCTAAGGTAACTTTATTCTCACCTACCTCCTTTTTTCATCGGGGACTTTTCGTCGGGTATAGGGTCTAGGTGTATGGATCAAGCAGGGGGTTCATGTCGGCTCCTCACATTTCCGATGTGATTTAGCAGTGGGGTTTTGATGTCTATCTTTTACTTGTAAGAATATGTCGATATTCCCAGTTCTATCTGTCGGTCAAGCGATTTCACCCCTTGTCAGTTTTTGCAACTGCCGGACCAAGAAAAATATCCAGTCGATCTCCCGACTGAACGTTACGCTAATCAGTATGCGCTGATCCCCTAATCAAAGCTCCTGTTTTGATATTGAGACGGAAAAACGGCTTTAAGAATTGTGTTTACACAGAAGGATTTAATTCCCTACCTACACGTGCGGATTGCGTGGTTTTTAATATGATCAATCATTTTTTGTCGATGTAACCTTGATTCGGAAGTAAAATACTACTGCAAAGAGGCTGGTCAAATACCTATCCCCTATGAAATAATACTGATCGCTAATTTGTGGGTGGTAGATGTGGAGATCATCACATTGAAAGGCACGGTGATGATGTGCATAGAGCCTCACCTGTAACACCCTTCTACGATGCGGTCGCAAATTAGAGTATGAACCTCCTTATAGAGAGATAGGGAACTATTGTTTACCCCACGTGGCAATGGACTAGGGCTGAAAGCTCGCGTGCGTCGGTATATTTTCACGTATAAATTAACTGCGAGTTTGTCGCCAACATCGCTGTCTATGAATTGGCGTTAGTAGATCCAGGGATCATAAGCCTAAATGAACATACCAGATTCCTATCTAGGCCATAGCTCTACAGGAATAGAGGATTCCATCAGGGGAATTTGCACAGGAACCTACCTAGGTATTCACAATGCGTTATCGAAATAATTATTGTCTAGGCGAAGCAACTTCTCATCTTCCGTATACTGTGTCCTATGAAGCTCGCTTAAGTGAGCTGCTACTTCATATCCCAGCATATCACCCTCGCAGCGGCCTGTAAGAGAGGTCTTGCACATCTCATACTACACCCCAGGAAACCCCCAACTTTTTTTATTCCCTTCTCCAGGATTCGTAATTTCCCCTGAGCGAAAGGAACGACAATATCGATCGGTCCTAGCGAACGGGCCGCTCCTGCTGAACCCCACCGAAGGAGATTTCTTGCCGTCCGACAAAACCACCGTGCTGTATGCTCATGGATTGAGTCGCAATGGAACATGCACACCACGTGCATTCGACGCACACTCGGACTTCGAGAAATGGAAGTCAGCACGATGGATCAAAAAACAAGCCCAAGCGAGATTCGCGTGCAGCTAACACGTCGTATCTATCAGCATGACGTCGCGGGATGTTGGAGTAAGCCCCTATTAACTGCTGGGGTTTTGGTATATAAAGTATTCTGAGTGCATGCGTGCGAGTATCTAACAAGTCACACAACCTCAGACTTTCGTACTACTCATATTGTTGATCCTCTTCACTGTAGATAGACATTTTCGTTACACACAATGGCCGATCCGAAACCTCTGAAGAACAAGACCATCCTAGTCACAGGAGCAGCCCAAGGACTTGGCGAGGTCATCTCCGAGTACATCGCAGCACGTGGCGCAAACTTATCGCTAGCAGATGTCCAGAAAACTAAACTCGATGCTGCCGCAGAGCTTATCAAAGAACTATACCCGGATATCCAAGTCATGACACAAGCCGTGGACATCACGAATCCAGAAAGTGTCGAAAACTGGGTCCTCGCAACACAAGATAAGCTCGGAGAGATCCATGGGTGTGTAAACTGTGCCGGTACGCAAAACAAAACGGAATTCACCATCCTATCCTGGCCCCCCTACTATATATCATGACGAAGTGGCTAGCTGACCAAAAACGCCACCAATAAAACAGGAATCATAGGCAAAGATCCACGCCCAATAACAGATCTCAGTTTCGAGGAGTGGAACAAGGTCATCAATGTCAATCTGACAGGTCTATTCTGTTGTCTGAAATATCAACTGCGCGCTCTCGCCGACAACGGTAGCATCGTTAACATATCGAGTGTTGCGGCTTTGCGAGGATCGGTATTTTACCCCGCGTATGCTGCGTCTAAGCAAGGAATCGTTGGATTATCGAAGGTCGCTGCTGCTGACCATGCGCATCGGGGTGTACGGGTGAATGCTGTGTGCCCGTGAGTACCCTGCAAGCCACCGTCTTACCTTTCTACACATCCCGCCTCCTCTAATTTCCCTTCATCTAATTTCTTTTTCAATTGAAACTGATCAAATCCTAACCCCACACCCAGAGCCATCGCAGAAACTCCCATGTGGGATCAATTATGTGAGCAATCAGGCAACTTCCGCGCCGAAGACTTTCCGCAATTATTTAAGCGATATATGAAGCCAGAGGAAGTCGCGTCGATGGTAGGATATCTACTAGGTGACGAGAGCAAATTTATCACACGGACGACGATAGCTGTTGATGGTGGATTTTCGGGTTGAGGGGGTCTTTTTAAGTAAGACCTAGTATTTAGACGGGACAACGATATATTTTATGACTGTTAATGGTATCAATTTTCTATCAAAGATTATCGCCATTTTTCGACGGTTTTGATACCTTCGACTTTGTACTTCCTAACCCTTTTGATACGTCTACCCATCTTATGTAGGCGCGTGGAGGTAGGTATTAGGAATAACTATCCATATACATATGGTATGTACCGTTCTATCTAACAGTGAATATTGGTGGTTTTCATGCGAGCTCGTCGAGAGAATTAGCTTTCTTTTCCTCCGTAGTTATGAATGCGTACCTTTCCGTCAATTTCATGCTTATATCTAACATGATGCGTCTATTTATGCTAATGCATTTCTTCAATGGGGTTATGCTTGATAATTGGCGAAGTTATGCTTCAGTCTCAGTTTCCGAATCCTCCTCGTCGATTCTCTTGCTGTTCAGCGGTGGTAGGTGCGCCATGAACAAGACCAAAAACCCGAACACGGCAAGTCCCTAGCGTGGTGTCAGCAAATTTTGAAGTACCCTTGTAGTATGGATTGAGAGCATACGGCATTATAGAAAAATGTTAAACTCGGTCGACCGACTTCAGAGAAGCCAGCAAAGATCAGGCCGAAAAGACCTTGTGTGAGTAATGTAGCTGTGCTTTCCACCAACGTGATTGCACTAATCGCATCCTGTCTCTTGTCCGGGGGACATAATTCAGTCATGACCCCCTTCGCGGCTGGTGCTGACCCCGAAGCAAACGGCAATAGGTAGCCAGCTATGTATCGTTAATTATTGCCGAGTTACGAAGGTTATGAGGCTACTTACCAAGGTATACCTGCCAACCTTCTCTAGAAAATCCGGCGAAAAATGTCACCATCGAATCGACGACGAGACTCCATCGGACGAAGAACAAATCAAACCCGGTACCCGAGTCCTCTTCGTCTGCATCCGGTGATTGTACTGGTTCCTGGGGAACTTCTCCGCCCTCGTCGGCTTCAAAGTCCCCTGGATTGAGAGGTATACGGCCTTCCGGTTCCGACTCCGGCTCCCTTGCATCCGTTAAAGTGGGTGGTATACCGTTAAACCAAACGCGACCGGCCGAAATAATTTTCGGAAACACAAACAGCAAGAAGGTACCGCGAATAGCCGAGTTTCCGAACATTAGGTAACCATTCTCGGTAGTACCGAAATTGAATTCGGATGTAGCGTACATTTGTAACAAGATAGGGGCGTATCCGGAAGCGAACTAAATGATTGTAAGAGTCCAGCAAATTGAAGTGTGAGGTCTTCGGTCGCGCAACTTACAACGCCAAGGAAGATACCTAGAGCAAGGAAAATCAAGCTGTAATTCTTAATCACTTGACCCGTCTCGAGGCGGTACTTGTGAGGCGCAATTATCTTGATAGGTGCGAAAAAGGCACCAATGCCCTGGTTGCCTTTCTTCTGGCTGACGGACTCGTTCCCTGTCTTCGTCGGCAAGAAAAATGCCCCATACAGCGTGCAGACAACGTAAAGGAAGAACGCCGTCTCAAAAGGGCGTCTAATGTTGTAGACGTCACCAAGCACGCCTCCCACTATCATATTGTTAATTATGCGCTCTGGCGACAAATCTTGGCATGGCAAACTTACGAAGAAATCCAAAGGCTGTTCCTAACATGATTGACCCTTGCAATCGTCCAAATACGGCGGTGCGGTCCTTCGGAGCGACTATTTCACTGACGGCAGTGTTTAAAACAAGCCTTAATCACCTTGGTTAGTATTCCTTATGCATTGGGGGTGGGGGGTTGAGACATACTGAAAGCCCCGGGGCCCTCCGACGATCCCGATGGCTTGAAAAGCCTGGAAAAGAATTTCGCCCGTCCGGCCACCAATTGTTACACCGACGACCTGCGTTGACACTCTCAACCCAAGTAGGGCGGTTTGTGAAACGAAAGCCCAACGCGGACCCCAGCGCTTGATGAAGTAACCGCATATGAATAAGTTAAAGACTCCGCTAAATGAAGTCGACATGCCTAGAATAGAGACCTGTGTGGCTGTTCCCGCATTGATTTCTCTACGGTGACAGCGATCTCCCGGACCTTCAAAGGGGGGATTGTGGGTGTAGAATATGTTGCATTCCATTAGACGGAATACATAGATGATCTTGGCGCCACTGTTAGTACCGTTGTTCTCAATTGGGTCGATCTACGGAACCTTACGGGGACTTGAGTGATGCCGAGCGTGAACGACATCATAAAACCGGCGAGCAGGATACGATTAGCCGGACCGAAGACGGTGCGGGTGGTCTTCGCGACCTTAGTCGTTTTCGGAACGACTCCATCTCGGAGTAGCGGGGATCTCTCATCGGCTGTCATGCTTTGAGTGTTGTACGGGAATCAACGATTCTTTTTTTAAGAGAACCGGAGGAAGAATGGAAAAGAATGGAGAACGTTGAATTGGGAAAGTTACCAGAAAGTTACAAAAGTTACAAGGAGTAGATTTTAAGTCCTTACCGGACTAATACACTTCGATAATACATTAGGAGGGTACTTTGGAATAGCATATTATAGTAGTACACGGTTAGGTACAGATCCAGTTTAGTTGCAGTGCATATTATAGTGGATAATACATGTGTGGCGCTTGATAAAGACCCAATAGGAGTAATTACATTCATGTGCCTTTCCATCTTCAACGATGCGGAAATTGATAACGCCCAACTTTCTATGTGACTCCAATAAAATGAGTCTCCGAAACCTCCCCAATCCAATCCTTTTTATCACTACCTAGGTACCTCATCGGAACATTGCCGATGCGGGGGTTTCCTCTTTTGCTTGTTCGTATCTACATTTTGAATGGGACTGTATACAAATGGGGGATTTCACTTACTTCTCAACTTCCACCACGTAATGTACATTGAGCTGAATTAGTTATTGTCGTTTCCAATGATGTCTTGCTGTCTTACCTAGAAACTCCTACTCTCTTTCTATAATGTTTGCTAAAGAATCGACAATATGTTCTACACTGTATAGTGTAAAGTCACTAACTATATTCGGCTTAGCAACGTTAGTGCTTAAACATTGAAAAGATGTCATATTATGAATTATCCCGTCATGAGTCTTATGAATTTTTTCAAAAGTATTCAAAGGGATTTATGTTTTAGTATCGTGTTGTTGTATTTTGGTTTGGAACTAATAGATGGTTACTATTGTTGTGGCGAACATAACTATCTAAAGAGAAAAACAGTGTATAACTAACATAATACTTGTATAGTGGGGTTTGAACCAACTGCCTGGTGCAAGTTGATCCTCCAGGGGTAACTTATCCGATAAGGTATTATAACCACGATCTTCAACACAGCTTCTGATTCCTTTGCTGTCCGTATACTCTAAGGTTGTTGTCCTATAGGCCTCTCATCACACGAAACTTTCAACACTTGGCAAAGTATGTAGTGTTTCCGAAGAGCGCTCATAATTGCTAAAGTCATTCTTTATTAGGAGGCATTATGCTAGACAATAATTGTATCCGGGTTCGGAACCACTCAAATTAAATACGGGTTTCCGGCACAAGCATCGTGAAGATGATAGGAAACTCCGTTCTGGTTACACGAGAACTGATTAAAGTTGCGCAGATCGGCGGAAGATAGACACCTCAGCGGCTTGTCCGTGAGACATTCCCACGATGATTGAATCACAACATACCAAGACTTTGACAAAATAGTAGAGCTAAACAAATGATTTCATAGACATGATAACGACAAGAAGTCACAACATGACTTTATCATGCTTTTTAGAAGACGGGATGCCTGCAATAGACATCCCGTATTTCTTGCATGCTACCTCATATGCACGGTTCGGCAGCTAAATAATCTACTAGAGCCGAGGGCCGCAGTGATCTTCCGGAAAACGGACAAGATTATTCAGGAACAAGTATAGTATATGGACAATTGTTCAAATAGGAAGACGAATATTCGAAAATCATCCTCCTGGCTTAACGTCTGGCAATATTAAAGAGAATAAAGAACAAAGACGGCACGAACCTTACCTTTTACTTAGCAACATTAAGCTATATGTCAATACGTCAGTAAAAGCTAAATATCGGCGTTAAAGAAGCGATTTCGGATTTCCCCATTTACGTACCCGGGATAAACACCGAGGTAGAACAAACAACTACCAACGACCTCATTAACGGACCAAATTGAGGCTAATGGTAGGAAATATCAAAGGCGAGGAGGACAAATCCGAAAAACCGGCGTCTGGGCCTGATACCGAGTATGTTTTCGCATCAACTCAGGAAAACACCTACATAAGCGGCCGGGCCGAAAATCAGGGCCAATCGACAACAAACTCCAATGACCTAACGAAAAGCAACTTCTTAGGTAGGGTGATGGCGATACTGAATTGGATGCCACAACGCTGTCGCTACGATCCTGAGAACCCACCCAAGTTCACCTTATCTATGAACATTCTATTAGCTTTTGTATGACTACCATCACCCCAATATAATCTCCCCTTATACTTATCTCAAAGCTAACCTCGGGTAGAGTGGGACGTTCACCGTCGCAAACCTGTATTATGCGCAACCAATTTTGAACGTTCTAGCCAGGGACTTCAACGTGAGCTACGAAAAAGCCTCTGATGTATCCACCCTATCACAAGCAGGATATGCCACTGGGCTTCTCTTTCTGTGCCCCTTGGCAGATATGGTCCCTCGCCGGCCCTTCATTCTATTCCTTATATGGCTGACGGCAACTATTGTAAGTGCTCTGTCGTTCAATTCTCTACGGGTATATCCAACGATTAACTAACAGGCATAGTGGATTGGATTATGCCTCACTACCAGCTTCAATGTATTCATTAGTTTGTCTTATCTCTGCGGAGTTGGGTATGTTCTCTTGCTCAATTGCCCCCTTAAATCTTCGATCTAACATTCAAACAGTACAGTAACACCGCAACTGATGCTACCCCTCGTCGGTGACCTAGCACCAGCTCATCGCCGCGCCAGTTCACTATCCGTGGTTGTATCTGGCTTAGCCCTTGGGCTACTAATCGCCAGAGTCCTGTCGGGTATAGTAGCTAACTTTACATCTTGGAGAAATATCTACTGGTTAGCATTCGGCGCTCAATACCTAACTTTAGGACTTCTCTACTTCTACCTCCCGGATTACCCCACGAAAAATAAAGGATTAAACTATTTCAAGGCCCTCTGGGGCATGGTGGTAATGGTTTTCACGGAACCTCTGCTCACTCAAGCATGTTTCATTGGTTTCCTGCTCAGCGCCGCATTTACCTCTTTCTGGACTACTCTTACATTCCTTCTTGCGTCGCCGCCGTATGAATACACATCGCTCGAAATTGGATGTTTCGCATTTATTGGAATAGTTGTGGTTGCACTAGCTCCCTTCTGGTCGCGCCTCATTACGGATAGATTCGTGTTCTTGTTCTCCGTTATTCTTGGCCTCGCTTTCGAGTTCGTTGGTATTGTGATATCCACCTTCACCGGGAGTTTCACGGTAGCAGGACCTATAATACACGCCATCATGATGGATTCAGGAGCGAATTTTACGCATACTGCCAATCGGACCAATATCTACACCCTCGATCCAAAAGCACGAAATCGGATTAATACGGTGTACATGGTTTTCTGTTTTGGGGGCCAGATCATGGGCACAGCAGTCGGTAATCGGCTATACGCGCAAGGAGGCTGGGTTTGGAGCGGAAGTTCGAACATCGCTTATATTGGCCTGGCTATTCTTATCGGTTTCGCTAGGGGTCCAAGAGAGACAGGTTGGGTGGGGTGGTCCAATGGTTGGAATATTAGACGAGATGATAGCCCGAAGAGAGAGCCCGCGGTCGCCGCTGACACTGATATTGAGGAAGCCGCGCCGCCGTCTAATCTGAATCAGTCGAAGGAAGAGAGTCATATAGATGGAATTAGGTAACGCAAATGAGGCCTGCCTTTCTGGGTCATATTTTTCATTCTGTTTCTAGATTTATATCAGCTAGGGTTTACTAATGAATAATGACTGGGCGACGTCATCCATATGCGAATCAAAAAATCTTCATCCCAGGATATGGGCGGTAATCTGTGATATTATATGAAGTAGATATCAATTGTACAATTGCAAATTGCCCGGCATCTTCCTAGGGCTGAGAGGATTTCAGATTGGATCACTTCTATAATTGGACTAATGATTCGTGTTTTGCCTGTACCACTCGTTAAGTTGCGACATTGGGATTCTTGTATATCTACCTACCTTGGTACTTTTCAGTGTCTTATGACACCGCTTTAACTATAGCTGAAAGCTTAGTCTGCTAAGCGACGCCCCATGGTGCTCTCTGAGGTATTAGAACTCGGAATCTTAGCAGGCTTGCTTTATTCATCCGGTTTTTGTATGACTGAAGACGCCACCGTGTCAGCCTAAGACAACGTAATCGAACGGAACAGCGGGGGTGGCTCTTTTTCTTGGAGTCCAAAGGATTCATAGTAAATTGGTGGCTGAAATTACAGTACTCTACCTGGTGACCTAAGTATTCATCATCTATCGACACTGGGCTTATGGTTGCACAGAGGCGTGCGGTGGCACATGCCAAGGCGGCTCGTATCGTATCTATCACGTAACTCATTTATGTAGTACACAAGTCTTCGTTGAAGCCTATCGCTTTTAGGTATATGTAAGCATCGAAGTGCGTCTCGCAGTTTACTACCCCTATTACAAGAGGCTCGGAATAGAAGCATAAAAATGTGATACGTATCACGAAAACCTCGGGATACGAACGTATAGAATGAAGATTTGGATCCTGTGCTAATATAAGATCCTTGATGTCTCCGTTGTGAGGCTGAATAGAACATTTGGTAAGTTATGTACGCCATGATGTGTAGCCTGCATTTTGTCTCATGTCTATGATTACTGTGGCTGCTCACTGCGTAATGTCATATATCATCCTATCAACTAGGTCAGGAGTCTCAAAGCAGGATTCTCCTAGTAGTCGAATGAAAGTACAGTAATTCCGAGCGTGACCATGGCGGTCCTTTTTCCCGTCTTGTGCAGCATTTGCGAGATCCTATATCGTCACCCTAAGTACTAAGAATAAACGATAGCTAGGACTTCACGGCTGTTCAGCGAGGCAGTGTTAGCCTAAGAACAAAATGCTTAGTATATATAATTTCATGGATGAGTACGATATAACTGGCCGTTTTCAGCCTTTAAAGGAGTATTTTGATGCTCTATCGAATCACGCGTGGAGGCCCTTATATAATTTGAAAATGTTTTTGAAAGTTATTTGGGTATTTGTAGCACTTAACCTCCAATTCTGTCTTAATGAGACTCCTCCAGCACCAGTAGTAGACCTTGGTTATGCCCGGTATCAAGGATACTATGATTCTGCCTATGATGTGAACATCTATAAGGGGTATGAGAAACCCAATACCCTTGAAGAATGTTTCATCGAAACTGACCAGAACTTAGGATAAGATATGCTGCTCCCCCAACCGGCAAGTTAAGATGGCAGTTACCACAATCGCCAGCTCAGAATCGAAGCCAGATAATTCAAGCGACTAAGTATGGCTCACAATGCCCTCAATCTGGGGATGGGCCGGGACCTCAAAAAACCGCCCCAACGGGCTCCGAGGACTGCCTGTTTATGAATATCTTTTCGCCCACGAATAAAACAGGGCTACCCATTCTATTCTGGATCCGTGAGTGTCCTTTCACCTTTTAGATTTCCAATTCTGACTAAAAATAGATGGCGGGGGATATGGACAAGCAAACGCGGCGTTCGACCCATCACCACAAATTCATACGAACGGGAATTCATTCGTAATAGTAGCGATTCAATATCGTCTAGGAGCATTTGGATTCCTCTCGTCTGCCGAATTCGCCAAGTCGGGTGTTCTTAATACAGGAGTTCACGATATGTATTTCGCTCTGCAATGGGTCCAAGAACACATTCACCTCTTCGGTGGCGATCCGACAAAGGTAACAATTGCTGGCGAATCGGCCGGAGGCGGTAGTGTTATGTTGCTTGGTATGGCCTATGGAGGAGGAGCCAATGCCAGTTTGTTCAACGGCATTATTGCTTCAAGCCCCTATTTACCCACGCAATGGTATGTTAACACCCCCGACACACTAAGCAAGGCTTGACGGCGGGGTCTAATAATCAGCATAGGGATTATAATGGTACCAGGCCAACTGAATATTACCATCGCTTCGCAGAAAGCGCAGGTTGCTCTGAAGACAGGATAAAAACCAACGAGTCGGTCTTCGACTGCTTGGTTTCTGCAGACACAGTCACCCTCCAGAATGCTAGCGACTACGTCAGCACGACAGGACTATACGGTCAATGGGCATTTATACCCGTAACAGACGGGACGCTTATCCGAGAACGACCAACCGATCAGCTATTGAAAGGCGGAAAGCTCAATGGCGTCCGCGTCCTATCCGCGAGCAATTCGAACGACGGCCCATTTTTCACACCGCGGGGCATAGAGAATGAGAATGATTTCACGGATTTCCTCACATTGAATTATCCCTCGTTAAGCAAAGAGAATATGACTAATATCCTCGCGCTCTACTCCGTTCCACCGAATGCCTCGAATGTGTTAATCAACACCGATGGCGAAAACCCGCCATATGCGACGACTAATTCTGGGTGGGCTTACGGTTGGGAACAAGCGGCTACCAACCTCTACGCGGAGACTACGTTCGGATGTCCTTCCTATTGGCTCGCTGACGCTTACGCGAAGAAGCAAGGTGGGAAGGCGTGGCATTACCAGTTCTCTGTCCCACCAGGGCAACATGGCCTCGACTTAGACCCACTCCTTCAATCGACAGATACTCAGACCGAAGGCATGGATAAGGTGTTTCGCACAGCCTTCCAGCAGATTTGGGGGAACTTCATCGTGAGAGGAGACCCGACACTTAGCACCATGCAGATAAGCGCTGCGAAGCAAGGAAATATCACAGCAGCTGGTACTGGGATGTGGCCGCAATGGGAAGGGAAGCCAGGTAGTGACTGGATGCTCAATTTGAATATGACCGGTGGCCAGCCTATTATCGAGACAGCTACTCTTGATGGCATATCTGTCAATGTTACTCGCTATGTCGTTGGAAATGACACTTCATCGCAGCCTTTAGCTGCAGATTTTAAGGTCGCCGAAGGTAGTTCTTGGGAGGGCGGAAGAGGTAAAAGATGCCAGTTATGGGCTGATCTAGGACCTTGGATCCTAGAGTAAAGTTCGTGTATCGTATATTCCATAGAATAATGCATGTCGACCATAGTTTTCCCATTGCATCAAAAGGCGCGAAAAATTATTTTATTGATGCGATGAACTCAGCTCCGATCGAGAATTCGCGCAGTGTACTCATTGTAGGAATGATTGACAACGTCGGATTGAGAATATCAGCTGTGCTCGGTGTTGAGGCTACAGCCTCGATGAAACTCGAAGTCCAGCCTGATTGACGAGACGTTATTATTTCTTATATCCATTACCGACTTATATGACGACATCATAAGCTTCATGAATAGGCCCGAGTAGTTGTCGGTATCGCTCAAAGGAGATAGTTTTCGTAATGAGAATATCGGCATATACGCACGCGATCGAGTAAATATAGAAACGATCGTGGGGGTTTGTCGTGGTATACATAACTTGACATAATCCGACCGTTATAAGCCCGTCGGCTTCGATATATTCCTATTCAGGTAATTAATGCGATTTACTATAGGTTTCAATCCCCTTATAATCAGCATCGGTTCTCTCCGAATATGGGAATAAGATTAGATAAAAGGGCAAGTTATCCAAGCCGAGGCTTCTTACCGAAAGCTGGACAAATGCCGGGGGCGTGGGCAACCGTGGGTCCAGTCATGATAAGGGAATTGGGAATTTCTATGGTATAACGTTCCAATCTATGCGTGGCCGACGATCTTCCCCAGACCAAAACCCCACTTCCAAGGTTCCTAAACACAAGATAGGGAGGTCCTTTGAAGATACGCGCTCTGGGCATTTGATCTAATTCCACGTGGGAACATCGCCATACTTGTGCTTTGGATAAAGTGAGGAAAGAGTGTTGATATGGTATCTTCAGTTGAATATTGATAAATGTAGATGAATAGGTAGTAATTGTGTCGTTTCAACTCTGCAGGTTTCCTGTAAGATGGCTCGGTCGGGGATGAGTAAGATACTGCTTAACGCCGTCCGTCCGCACCGAGTCCATATAAGATAATCCCAAGCCTCAGACGTCACCGTCTGGGCAAGATTCTCCGCGTATCATAGCTGTTATCTTCCAGCATCTCCTTATCTAGCATTATCAACGTACCATTCGGGCGACCATTGCTACCATGACTATAGGTAGTGAGTTGTAACAAGGCTCGAGCTGAGTAGATATATATATATTGATCAATGATACCCCTCTTCATCATGTGAACACCATTCTCTAAGACCTCAAGAATACTTGAAGGTTTATACCTTACCTAATTACTTCGAGGGACATGGCGCAAGCACCGGAGATCGCAGCACTCCCTATGGAGGTAAAGTCACCTTTGGAGATAGCCAAGGATCCCGAAAAAGATCCCGAAAAGAATAACAGCACGGAAATAAGTGAAAAGAGTAGTATTGCTGCCGAAGAAGCTTCCGATGGCACAGGTTTGCTTCGCTTGATCCCGCGATTGAACGGTTGAGATGCTTATCAGTTGCCAGCTCCGAAGTACACGGACGAGCAGTATGCGAAGCTGAAGCGAAAAGTTGATAGATACCTGCTCCCATTGATGTGGCTATGTTATGGTATCCAGCAAACGGATAAGACTTCAATTGGAACACAAGCTACCTTTGGTCTCTCGAAGGTATGATGAACTCGTAATACATCCGGGAGGGCTTCTCTGCTAACACGGTCGCACTCTACAGGATACTGGGCTTGTCGGACAGCAATATTCATGGCTTACGACGATATTCTATATCACGTATATGTGCTTCGAATTCCCGTCGAATATTATCCTTCAGCGGTATCTTATGGGTCGCACACTCTCATGTTATATGCTCTGCTGGGGTGTCGTTGTCTTGTGTGTAGGATTTGCGCAAAACTTTACACAACTCATCACACTTCGTGCGCTGCAAGGCCTTTTCGAGGTGAGTAATCCTCTTTCGCGCCCCCCTCAAAATAAAAGTTAAGAGAACTAGAAGTACTGACACGTTTTCATAAATAATTAGTGCTGCATCTCTCCCGGTTTCATCCTCGTCGTCGGTAGTTGGTACACAACACGTGAACATGCTTCTCGATCGCTTGTTTTCCAGAGCGCCAATGCCGGTTTCGGTATTATTGCCAACCTGACCCTTTACGGGATAGGCTCGGTACAATACTCTCGCGGCGGCAGCTTCCAGGCTTGGAGATATATGTCTTACGTGAGTCAGACAACACGGTGAATCGTTGAAGGAGTGGTATGGTGCTAATGAGTTGATTGGGGGTAGTTCCTCGGGGGTATGACGCTTCTAACGGGTTGTCTATGTCTCTTCTTACTCGGTACACCGTCTGAAGTGCGCTGGTTGACGCCCGAGGAAAAGAAAATTGCCAATTCGCGTATCATGACGAATAACACTGGTCATGACCGGACTGGTATCAAGAAATGGAAGTGGAAGCAAGCGCGAGAATGTCTGGTCGATCCATGCGTGAGTAGTCCCTGAGCACCGAAAAGGGGTATCGCATTATTAGGAGTGACTGACACGTTTGATGGTTCCGTTCTACTTAGTTCTGGTTCGCCGGTATCAATGCGTTCCTCAATTCCGTGCCTAATGGAGGTTTGACCGCCTTCGGTTCCATCATCAACACCAATGCCGGGTTTAGTGAGTTGCTGGTGCCACCTAGCAAGAGATGTAATGAAAACTAACAAGATATCAGCCAACCTCCAAGTAATTCTTCTAGATATTCCGCGAAATATCACGTCAGTGATATGGTTTACAATCATTGGCGTTATCACAAGTAGGAAAAAGAACCTACGCTTGTAAGTCACAACGACCTGCGCTTTAGAGAATCAACTAACCTGCGATGTTAGGTATTTCATGATCATATCAGTCGTCCCTCCGATTGCTGGATTTATTATGATGTCGACGCTGCCAAACGAGCCCCAATACAAGTGGATTAAGTGGGCAGGGTAGGTCTCAAAGAATAGCTCGCGTTCCTAATTCATTTCTAACGTGCCCTAGTTACTTCATAACTGTACCTTGTGTCGTCGGACTGTTCCTAGCCTGGACATTGATCCCCTCGAACGTCGCCGGGCGCACTAAGCGTACACTAACCTCGTCATGGACGTTCGTTGGTTATTGTGTCGGAAATATGGTCGGCTCGCAGATTTTCACCGCGAAGGATGCTGTGCGTATTTACCCTTTTAGCGCCCTATTCCCTTTTACGTTGTGAGCGCTAGCATATTCGAATATGAGTTAACGAGGATTCCTAGCCACGATACATCCCCGGTACCGCCGGCTGCGCAGTATGTTTCGGTCTCGAGTTCTTCCTTCTCATCGCCTGGCGTCTTGTTCTCGTCATGCGAAACCGGCGACGCGAAAAGCAGTTACGTGAACAAGGGGTCACTGAGGAAGAGAGGGTGGAAAGAGGCAAAGAGCTCGGGGAGCAAGATTACACGGACTTTGAAAATCCATATGTAAGTCGCCGATTCTCCTTTTCCGATCCCCATACTTTTCTGCTAGTCAAAGACCGGTCTAACATCCGTCACCTGTCTAGTTCCGTTACACAATGTAAGCAATGCTTCATACTAGGAGGTCAGGAAGTTATAAGCGGATATGCAGGATCGGGAAATCTAGGCTTGCTAGAACTATATCCGACTGTTATTCTATACGGGTCTTGGCAGTATCGGCATGAACGCACCTAACTGTAGCTTTTGCGAACTTATGGTCAGCATTTAGTCGTATTTTAGAAGTTTTTTTTCCTTTCCCGTACACAAAAAACTTGCATTACAGATGCGTCTGCACCCCGTCTGTCCTGCTGCTAATATTGGGGATGTCTACCTGCTGATTGGCGCCATGGCGTCGTCATTTAGCGAGATCCAATAACGAACGTCAAGTGACATATAGTTGCATGTAGCCCCCAAACCCGGGAGCGTAACGCGGAGAAGCTATGCCAAGATGTGCAGGCGTGGTCCATTACGCGTACCTGGCGCACAACGAAGTCATGACTATAATTAATCATTCACCTGAAAATGGGGGAAAATACAATATGCGGTTAGTCAGTCTTCATTGAAGACTGAAGATTTTGTAGAATTGTAAGTGCGTCCAGCGAATCGAGTAGCTAGATCGCAGATCCATTCCGTCGTATCCAACAAAAAAAGGGGTATCTGTAGAATCTGAGTATTCAAGACAGATCGGGTGTCCAAAAAGTGGTTACACCCTGCCTCCCAAGACAAATATATATAAGAATATCACATAACATAGAGGTATCTCGAACTTCATCCAAAAATCCTAACCCAAGCTCTTGTAAACGCCAATACCGTATATACACCCGCTTCTAATTTTTTTGGTGTATCGTGTCACGTTATTGAGAACGTCGCCTAAGACGAGTAGACGGCAACCCATTGGACTTCCATCATGCTGCCATAGCCACCAAGCGTAGCCTAAAACATCAGATATTAGTAAATGTGGATACCGCGACTTGTGTATTGAAGGGAACTACTCACAGCGTTGGGAGCACCAGGCCAGTCTCCACCCACGGCAACATTGAGAAGAATGTATCTATGATTCAGTATTAGCAATCAATTGTCCAAGATGACTAGTCGCATCGTGAAGGTAGACATGTTAACTTACAAGGGGCTGTGGGCCAAGGAAGACCAGATGGGAGCATCGTTTATAGTAGCTCCAGTAAGGGTGTTGTAGACGTTGCCGTCCATCGTCCAGCTGATAGTCTGTGCGCGCCAGTCGTCGTTCGTGAGGTCGATGGTGACGCCCCAGGTATGGAAGCCGCTGGGTTCAATGGCAGTGCTTCCCTTAAGACCGAGAGGCTCGGCGCAAGGGCCGCCAATGGCAGATCCGCAGTGAACGGTACCGAAGCCGGTGTTGAGTCCATTGACTTGTTCCATGATATCGATCTCTCCGGCAGCAGGCCATTGGGTACCGTGGCGCATCGCATCGCCGAGAGCCCAGAAGGCGGGCCAGATACCCTGCTTGTTGACAGCCGAGTTGCTTCCTAGGAGGATGCTCGACTGTATCTTGGTAACCTTGCCGGGTGCGGGAGTCCAAGATCCCTTAGTCTCGATACGGCCTGAGGTCCAGAGGCCAGCCTGAGATACGCGCGGAACGAACTGTATGGTACCACCACCGCTGATCTGGACGTTTTGGTTCGAGGTAGTGTAGGTTTGAACTTCGTTGTTGGTGTTGATGGCGTCCATGACGTTCCAAACGTCACCATTAGGGGAAGAGCCAGCAGAGCCCTCGAAAGACTCGGACCAGACAATGCTCATGCCTGGTAGGTTCGGAGGAGTAATGGCCGCGACGAGGGCCGGGGCCAGAGCAAGTACGCTTTGCTGGAATCGCATGTTGACGGTGTTTTCAAGTCGAAAAGCGACAGGGAAAGTGATGAATATGTTTTATATGGAGTTGATAGTAATGATAGTGACTGCCCGGTCTTATAGATCTTTCAAGATCTTATAGTTGAAGATGTAATGTGTGAAGAGATGGTAGCTATCCTGGCTGCGGTAGAAAGAAGCCTGACTCGCAGGTAGTTTGACAGATGCGTATATAATCAAAAAAGGAAAGACGAAGGTAGGCTAGGGTTAATAGCTGACTTGGCTATCAACACGGAAGCAAGAAAGAAAAAGAGTGTGGTATATATGTATGAAGTGAACGTGAGGGCAACAATGAATGGTTGGGCGCGGAAGGAAAAAACCAGCGAAAGAGCTCCGAGGCGGCTCACCTTGCGAGATATATATTAAGTGCCCATAATGGACGTTCGGTTGTGTTGTTCCCACTTACGGTCAAGGGGTCAAGGGGTTTAGGGAGGCCCACCAGGTTTGTCCACAATACTTTCTACTTTCAACAATACATTCACGATGAGCTTGGACAAGATCCGCCTGGATCTCTCAAAGATGGTGGCACTGCCTAAAAAGTGGATGATAAAGAACATAATGGGGTTAGTCAGGCACTCCGGGGACCCTTGAAGGGACATCGGACAAAGAGACGGGAAGAGTTCTTTTGGACCAAAGAAATCCAAGCATGATACACACCATTAGCGCGGAAATTAATTATGGGAGGGGAGCTAAGGGTGAAACCTGTTAGGGGGAGGGTTAGTTAATGGGATGGGATGGTGCTGTACCTATCTCTTCTCTATACCTCTATACTTCGTATCTGTAGTATGGAAGTAGTGTGGGTTGACAAGTAGATAGGTAGGTACTGTACCTAACTGACTCGACAGATGTGGGATGGGTTGCCCAATAGAGTGGTATTGGGCGCGTTGTTCCTGAGGAAAACAGTTTGACGACGTATCGTGAATGGCCAAGCACAGACAGGAGAAAAACCTGGACTTGGTCGAAAATGCTCCGGGCGGCGCGGATTTGCCCTTCGATTTTAAAATGGAACCTGACGAGGTCTAGTTCTTCTTTCTCTCTCTCGGTCAGCATAAGAAGTGGCAATATTACATTAGATGATAAAGAGGGGAAACATATCCTCTCGACATCTCATCAGCATATGTAATGTATGTGCCCATACAACATTGATTTGTTTAGTTGTCTTGCATCGTGATCATGTTGTGAGATATAAACTCCGGATGTAGAATTCGTGAGTAGGTACATTAGACGAGTGACAGTGGAGTTGAGAAGGTCTATTGTTAGGTCCAACCTCGCTCGTCAAGGTTACTTGCATGTGCAAAAGAAAAGAAGAGAGAGAGAAAAAGGTGGGGGGTCTATTAATTTTGGTGTTGCTGAGAAAATTGAAGGAGAAAAGGAGAGGGGCGGTCCGGACTAGCTAAGGTCTAGATCTAGTTTAGCGTATTACCCCTGGTCTATATATCTTTTACTGTGGGTCTTATATGGATACCTCTTATGCAAGGTACTGTACGGCATACGCTGAGTTGGCATCTGCAAAATCAGCACGCTATTATAGATACCTAGGTACAGTACCTAACTAAAGGTTAGCAAGGGTTGATGGTGAAACAGCCCTGTTCGTGATAAACCAGGCCTAGCTTTTAAGCGTACCTCTTGCCAATCCGATCTTTGAGTTAGCTGGTTAACAAGTTTAGGTACAACCTTAGAGTATGCAGAGTATAGTGGGGGCCAAGTCAAACTGCATCGCTATCGTATCATTAATTCACTCTTTTTCTTCCTTTTCATTCCTTTTTCAACAGAGAATCCATCTCACCTATGCCAACACCAACACCAACAACTTGGTCTGACCGTAACCACAACATCTTACCGTAGCATTCCTTATAGGTGGTACGACAAGGAATTTGCTGGATTCAACCTAGACTCAACATTGAGGTTGCTATTGTTATAGCTCACTTTCTCTTAGTTACGCGTTCACCAATAAATTAGTAACTGCCGCTTGCTATTCTAAATATTGACTAAAGATAGCCGCGGGAGAAGAAAAAGAGACAAGAAATTGATAATAAGCGCGCGCCCTGAACCCATTTATGGCTCATAGGAGTTATCATGAAGTCTGGGCAAATGTTGCCGTCTTTGCCGCGCGCTCGTAACCATACACGCCCATCCAGCAGCCCAGAAGGATGCTTCAACAAAGCAAACATACAATATCTACACTCTGCTATCATCTTCCTTCTAACCCCGCATGCCTACTATGCAGATTTGTACGGTAACGTGATAGGTAAGAGAGAAAATCTCACTGCTTCGATACTATCGTGCTCCGGATTATCACCGATAATATTTCCAAGTTGGAGAAATTTTCCGTCAGCCCAAAGGAGAAAAACGGCACATCCTTTGCTAGGTACAGGCTAGTTTGACTACCAATATCTCATCTAATCACTCAAGGTGCCGGACGGCGGTACGCTATGCACGTGTTCGATCTTAGCTGGCGCTCTCCCGTCCAGTCAAATCCTTTCGGTCCACCAAATCGAACCTCGCCGTCTCTTGGCACGAGCCGAACCAATCGCTCAGTAGGCTATCTGCCACGAGTAAAGCCTCTCATCACTACTCGACCTGACACGACAGTCTGTTCACAAAGAAGGCCGAGACCTTTTTTACTTAGGCTTATTCTTCCCTTACTGATGAAAAGTGTGGTGATGTATACTCTTTGAGTAATACACTTCCGAACTTCAGCTCTCGAGCACTAGGGAGGGGCTTTGACCAGGGGGATTCTGCCAAAAAGGAGTTGTTTCTTAAAACCAACCTATCACACCTCAGAAAAACTTGTTTCATGAATTTTTGGTATTCGGACCCAGCTTCCTAAATGGGCCTCGACTTGAAGAAATCCATGTCCAAACATGCATACGTGCACTTACAGAATGTTGGCGTGCTGGCTGGCGAAAAACTCGGTCAAAATTTCTGGTCTCCTTCACAAATCACCAATTAAGCAAAGCAGGCTTACTACGTAGCAACCCGTCCACGTTACGATGCGTCTCTGTCACCCTGTGAAACAGGGCTCATTATTGCTAATTCATGCCTGTAATAATATTCTTTCTAGAATTACCTTAGGTGGGCATTCTATCCATATTTTCTCCAGTTGAGGAAATGCCGCGTCTGGATCATAAGAATTTCCTACTAAGCCTTACATAACACATATTTATAACATGAATTCTTGATGCTTCGTCTTTTAGAAAGAAACTCATCCCCCTAATCCATCGCGACGGAAGACGGCATCCCTGAAAACCAATCCGGGTCTCGGTTGGGAATCCCCTGCACTGGACAGCGTCTTGGCGACCCAGTTGGTCTGGACATTGGGTCCCTCATCGGTTTGCCCTTCATCCCATCTTGTTCGTCGGATCTAGTGTGGGCTGGATTGGCGTTGATTCGCCACGTTCATGCTCAAATGGATGTTCCTCTTGGCCTCGGGCACCAAGTTATCCATCGGATGATCCCCTCAACGTGTGTACCGAATTCGCGGGTCAAACCCTATCGTTACTCAACAATGGAGAGGATCTTGCGATCAGCGCTCTTGATCGCTTTGATCGCTCAGTACCCCATGAACTTGAACGCACATTGATTCGTTATTCAATTTGTCGGTAGGTAATTCTCCAACCTAGATTCGCCTCGCATCCGACCACATTCGAAAAAGTCTACGTGATATCCGGCTATGGTTCCGTCTACCAAGTTGTTTGCTTCCGTTGAAAATCATTGCCGCAAGTTACAATTCGAGGTCAAAACGCTAAAAAGAATTTTCTTGTTATATTCGAAACTTGCCAATACGGCTGATGCCGTTTAATATATTCTTGCCATGTGCTCCAAATGATACTACCTGCCAACGCCGTTTCTGCATACTACAACCACGAACTAGAACCTGATTCTGGGCTATCAATAAATTGCAATCCATTTATGCTTAATACTTGACCATCACATACTAACGGCTCCACCCGTGACTCATCCCTAGGACGAAATCTCACGTCCATCCTCTTCTTAGCCCCGTTACCTAACTCAAACGATGATCAACACTCGCGATTACTGTCATTTAAAATTACAAGCAATTGGATGACTTACCTATAGATATGCGATGAACACTCCAACTTTAGGTGATACGACTAATCCCATGAGCATTTACTTTATTCCATCAACCAATAAGTTGATATCCTTTCGTATTCTACTAGGCTCTCGTGATTATACTTCAACCGAGCAGGTTAGATGATGCTTGCGCCCTGCATGGTTACCTACCTACATGTGTAAGTAAAAGCAATTAGATATTGTGCGAATGATCATCGATCAAGCCTGCCTGATTGTAATTGACCTTTTGAAGAGAGTTGCACTTCATCTTAGTCTGTATATACATCGCGAATGAACCTCAGTACTTTAAGGATTGAGAAGGAATCAATTCACCAATTGACATGAAAAGGGTTTGATTGTAAACATTAAATGTAGTTGACTAGGTAGAGTGCCTTTAAATACAGGGTTAAGTCTTATAATTAACTAAGTAGGCTTAAGTTTAACTACGAGCTTTTTAACTGCAACACCTTTAATATTCGCTATTAGAACTAGAATTACAGCGGCTGCTGGCTCCAGACTTGCCCTCCAATTGTT